TATAAAAAAAAAAAATATATATATATATATATATTCCAAATATTTTCTGCAATAATTTTATTACACATTTAATTGTTTTCTATAATTGTTCTTTATTGTTCGTTACCTTCTCGAAATAATTCACTTAAAGTTTTCAGCGGATAAATAGAAAGGACTTTATTTGATAGTAAGGATATTCGTAGAACCTGTAAGTCTATTAGTCAACGTTGTTGCAAATAAATCTTTTTAGTTTGGTTCGAAATCCAATCATAATTAATTGAAATATCCATGGGATGATATCAAATAGTTTCAATAAACCCATCGATTTATGTATTAATTGGAAATTGAATTCTTGGTCTTGAGTTACCGCAATTGGTAATGAAAAAATAATGCGTAAGTCAAATACGTTCCATCCATTGTTACCGAAAGTACAACGTTGATTGAAAAACTCATCAAAAAGTGGAAAGCACAGTTACATTTGTGTACCGACTGAAATCGGAACGGGAAACTAAAATATAACATGTAAAGTACTCACATTTCAAGCGAAAAATTCTAAAGGAGCAAAAAATAAGTCGCAAAATTTAAAGATAGATTAAAAATAATCTATGTTATAATTTTACACACATAAGCGAATAATTTTATGTCTAATATGATTTCATATTTATGTGTTCATGTCACAACCTTAAGCCACATACGTGTAAAATGCGCGGTTAACTGTTTATAAAAGTTGTATCTGTGTTCTTTTAAACATTTTTCCGGTAAAAAAAATATATCACTGAGAAAAATGTCCGATGAAAAGGTAACGAACGGATATTAACGATTACTTTAATCGGATATCTGATCGGAAAGTTCCGAATTTTGAACTTTCTGATCAGATATTCGATCGATCGATATTTTCTGATTGGATATTTGACCGGTTTCTTTTTTTTTTCGATTAAAGTGATCGGTATAATATCCGTTCGTTACCTTTTCACCGGATATTTTTCTCAGTGAACTCTTTCACTTTTTTGTAAAGTGTAAATTAAACCATGAAACTAAAATTTGATCGATTAAATGATTTAAAGTTGTGGCAATTAAAATATAAATTTAAAATGTTAGAAACGATAAAAAAAATAATTATAAACCTTTTTTTATTCTTTACATTATAAATTGACATTACTTTAACAACACTTTAATTTAAAGCTAAGTTGCTAAGATGTTTAACGTCAAAAATTAAAGCAAATATAAAAAAATGAGTTGAATCAGTTTTAAATGTGGAAAAAATTTATTTTAGGAAAAAATTTGATGTTATATTCTAAAATCATCCCATTTATATCAGTTTTCTGTATGTGTATTTTCTCTATCTCTCGAAAAAAATTTCTTTATTTTGGGATTACCATCGGATTATCCATATCGCCAGCGAAACCGAATGTCTTGACTCGCGCGACGATTAGAATTTCATGCACGGACCTACCCAAACAACCCCTTTCAGACCCGCATAATATCAGCCGTAAATTGGCGCCTCTCTTCGTAGCTTGAGCATACTTCGAGGTCGATTAATTTCCCTTGCGACGCCGACTTGCGATTCCAACTCGGATCCTTATTTCTGATAGTCGGCCAGTCGACCCTGTCCAAAACGGGAATATCGCCGACAAGTACATATTACGGGAAAACGTGCCGCTATAAAATGCCTTTTATATTGAGTCTGTAATCTTATTGTTAGTGTCTTTTATATGTGTCGTCTCTAATGTATCGCATCCGTAATTCAAAAAAACCAATGTTTGGCTATCTTTTCTCTAATAATTAATTTTTTTGTGACATAGGTTTGTTGTGAATTTCTAATTGTCAAATAATCACCTTTGGAATTTTTTGCGCGAATCAAATTTTAGATTCATGATTTATTTTATCATATATTTTTAATTTTCGAGATTAATATGACAGTATGAATTAAATCAAAATTTTCATTCAATTATATTTCCTCCTTATGTTTTTCAAATCGAAGATATATCAATAAGATACTTATTGATTACATTTGAAGAATAGTACGTGTGCTAAAACATTATTTAAAGATTAATTTCCGAATGCGCTATTTTCCCTAATTTCCTTTGCAAACAAAGTATATTATTTGAAAAACAAATTTCTCGGCCCCTAGCGTAATTAATTTTACCGACCTACATCTATTGATCCGTAGATTTTTCGAAGACGTGACGACGCACTGATGATTCTGGACACGCCGCTGGGCGAGACACAAACACGTCTCTGCGTCCACCCACGAAGCGTGCTTTATTTTTCAGACCTACGGTAAAAAAGGGATGCAGCGACTCTCCCCCTCCATTCTCTCCCCTCCTTCCCTTTCGTTTCATTCTCTCGTTGATGCGATAATTCAGAAAATCTATTTTACCGGGTTTTTTTTATCATCGGCCATTATTTACGGCGGATACGCTCGGGAAGGGTCGCCTTATTCGAATTCTAGAATACGTCGATAATGCTTAATCGTAGAAACGGGAATTTCTCCTCACCTCCCTGTGTCGAAAATTCCAGATGGTACCCAGTCTGTAGGTAGCCTGAGGCTGTACGAAATAAGAGTCCATGAAATCTGACTTCAGCTCAATTCTCAGTTTGCAATGATATGTGAGGCAATTCACAGTTGTCACAGTTGTCTTGTATAACACTAAGACCATAGACATGATCATGGTCTATGACTAAGACCGGATGAAACGAAAATCACGGAAGAATATCAAAGCTGATTATTTTTCCAATCTTTTATAACGTCTACATTAAATATGTTAGCAGTCAAATATATAATTAAAATTTTTTGAATATAAAGTCTAGTTAAATAAAAATATTGTGTTAACTATTTTATGAAACGCATCATTCTTAATTTGAGACTTTATTTTATACTCTTAATTTAAAAATTATTTCTATTATTTAATAAATATTAACATTTCTTTTTCTAAAAATTGTTGTTTTAGCTAAATTTATAAAAATAAAAAAAAATATCTTTAATATTTCAAAAATATCAAACAATATTAAAAATTAATAAGATACCGATTTTTTGTTCGAATATTCTTATGGATGAATAAGATAAACATTTTTTCTCGTAAAAATTATTAAATTATCGCACTTCTTCATATTCGAATCTGAATATTTTTTAAGTATATTCAAGTTTATTATACATAAAACGTAAATATGAAAAGAAAATCACCATATTGTTTGTACTTTTGTTCTCGAGTTGCGAAGTGATACCAATTTCCATGATGTCGACATGTAAATTTAAATTGCCAAATTGTCAATAATGACTATAAATTTGGCATGGATTTGAAATTAAAATGTCTGGAATTACAAATGGCTCGTTATCAGAAAAATCGATCAGCATTGTCGCGAATGTGAAATGCGAATTTCATGCGTCGATTTACGGTCGAAGAACTCGTATTAAATCTGCCACTACGAATCGTCCAACCGCCAACGGCTTAAATCCTCCGACTATCCGTCGTCGATTGCTCGTCGTCTCATCCCGCGCTATCTTATGAGAGAATCTTCAAAGAAAAATAAGACGGATTAAAACGCTTGTGGGAACGATTGTGGAAGAGAGAAAAGGAAAGAGGTAAAACCACTGGAGAGAATAGCTTGAAAAGCCGTAAAGTTCCTTTCGCCGCATCCGGTATATAATTTTCAACTTGTAGACTATCAAAACTTTTCACTCAGACATCATCCGTTTTCCTCCATTTCTCTATAATAAGCTATAAGACCGCAAGTATTTAATTTCCTCCAAACTTGAACTAGCCTCATTCCTCGATAATATTACGACTCAGGAAATGAGACAAGTGAAAGTGCACAACATTTTTTATATTTATGAAAAAATATAACGTATAAATTATATTCCGTGGAACAGAGATAAAAATATACTATTGTCAAATCAAGATTCGATGTATCACATTTATTCGATTTGTGCGAAAAATTTGTCCATTATTTTTATTGTTTAACTATATTTATTGTTGAACTATAATAATCGAAATCGAAAAAATCTCAAATCTTCTTGTTTTGTATTTCTTCTTGTTTTCTATTTCCATTTTATTTTCATGTTCTAATAAATGTATCGAGAGATACATTACATAGATAGATCGATCGATTGATAGATAGATAGATAGATAGATAGATAGATAGACAGATGGGCAGACAGAAGGATAGAGAGATAAATAGATAGATAGATAGATAGAGAGAGAGAGAGAGAGAGAGAGAGAGAGAGAGAGGGAGGGAGAGAGAGAGAGAGAGAGAGAGAGGGAGGGAGAGAGAGAGAGAGAGAGAGAGCATTTTGCAAATCCTGCAAAAATATTACGGTAATTTGACTTTTGTTTTGCAGAGAAAAACCTAGCATGTGAATTCGATTCAAGAATAATCGGTTTATCGACTAAGAGACTATATTAAAAAAAAAAGTCTTTGATTTTCAATGCAGCGACTGAAAATAAAATAATACAGAATTATTTAAATCGGAAATCGGCTTCTCAATAATTAATCTCGTAAATTATATTAAGATCGTCTACTTTCCCAAAGAGAACAACTTGCTTTTCGTCGATAGTATTCTCCGCCTACGAAAGCTAACTCTGATATAAATTTATCGCGATAAAATGATAAAATGGATTCATTGAATCTTTGATTATGAATCATGTTTATTGTTAGCCAAAATTACGCTGATGCAAAAAGATCTCGAATAAGCAAAATCTTTTTTGTAAAGTAATCTAAGAATTCTTAACGGAGTTCTCGACACAAAAAACTAAAAAACAAATTCTAGTTTAATTTCGGCTTCAAATATATTTTATCACAATCACAATTTTAAAAAAGATTAAAGAGATCAAAGCTGTATAATAAAACGTAATTTACCATATTATATATTATACTATAATGTGCAGGAAATATTTTTATTTTATTTTATTTGAAATAAAATATATTATTACGGTTTTTTATAGTCATAAAAAATCAATAATAAATCGTTAAAAAAATTAATTATAATTAAAACTAATAAAATCGATATCTTTGTGTTCTAGGTAACTTGATGGTGATCTTTGTTGTAACGTTCTCCCGACGATTACGCAGTATCACGAATTTCTTCCTGGCAAATTTGGCAGTGGCTGATTTTTGCGTGGGCATATTTTGCATTTATCAAACACTCACCAATTATTTAATGAACAGCTGGCAACTGGGTGACTTCCTCTGCAAGGTGTATATGTTCGTGCACGCGCTCTCCTATACCGCCAGTATACTGATCTTAGTGGTGGTATGCACCGAACGTTATTTGGCTATTGTTCATCCTATTAAGTGTCGGTCCATGCTGACTAGAAGTCGTCTCAGAATGGTGATAGGCGTAGTGTGGGTCCTAGCGGCTGTATACGCCTCGCCTAGATTTCTCTACGTCGAAACCATCAGCAACCAATTGAACACTGGCGACGTGGACATCATCTGCATAGCTAATATCAAGAAGCACAACAAGAATGTCCTGGATGTAGTGAATCTGGTCTTTCTTTACCTTGTACCGCTTTTTCTTATGTGCTGCTTGTATACGAGAATCGCTGTCGGTCTCTGGAGAAGCAGCGCCACTCTTGGAGGACCCGGTCTGATCGCCAGGAGTAGAAACGGCAGAGTCCATCATGTTCACACATCCAGCAGAAACGTTCTGAGGGCAAGACGTGGTGTTATCAGGTAATGCATTATCATTTTACATTTCCGGTATATTAGAACGCGATATTTTCCTGTTCTGTCACACTGAAACTGATGTTCCTTCGAGTAATTCCATTCGAAAAATGTGTTTGCTTCGACGAGTAATTATAATGGAAATTAATTAATATAATATATATATTATATGAAAATGTTTATACATATATGACTGATATTGTGACATAATTAAAATAGAAAAATATCGATTATTTCAATGTTATTCTTTTATGATTTTCAAAATTATCGAAGCAATTCTAAATTACTGAGATTAACATTATGCTAGAATAATCGGTTTACACACCAAATTAAAATCTGCTAAGATTAATCATATAAATCGATTATTTATTTAATAAAAATTGTCTTCTTCTAATTTTATATTTCTCAATCGTTTTAAAAAAGTTTCTGAATATGAGTGATTAATTATAATCAATACATGTCAACAAATTCGATCAGGTATCTTTATTAATTGTTATCTATTTTGCAATTAATAATATCAAGGATCTTTTCGATATGCCCCCTTATTTGTTAAAAAATACTTCTGAGTTTAATCAATTTCGCCGCTTTTTTACAGAATGTTGATTGCCGTGGTGATGATGTTCGCCATATGCAACCTGCCCCAGCAGGCTCGTATCGTCTGGCGACACTGGGGCTCCAACTACGACCACACGTCGGATTTCAGCACTCTTCTGACTGTGTCGACCTTCCTCATCTCGTATATGAACTCCTGCCTGAATCCGCTGCTATACGCTTTCCTGTCGCGCAACTTTCGCAAAGGTATGCGCGAGCTGTTGCGTTGCAAGGGTGCAAGGAGTCGTAACGCTCTGGCGATGGTGTATACCAGCGGCGATCATACAAATCGCCACGAAAACGGCACCAATTTACCGCATAGCTCGGTCGTCCGACTGAGTTCCGTCCAAGACAGTCCATGCACAACGCAGGCCATCACACAGCAGAACACTTATGGCAAAAACATTCAATAAACTACGACCAGGATAGAAGCATCTTTACATAGAATATTCCAGGATGGGAACGGACAAAATTTCTCTCAGGGAGACGCGTGAGCGCCTGCAAGATCTTCCCTTCTTCTAGGGAATCTATTTCGATGCAGTCTATATATATTATGAAGAAACAAAATGAAACGTGTTTTGTGTTGAGAATTTATTTAAAACTTGAAAACTTTGAATTCGACTAAGCTGAGATAAATTTACGGTTATAAAGGATAGAAACTGAATGTGGAACACCTTGTATATGGATGACGCCGAATCAGGTAAATGTTTCATGGCAAAAATCTATTTTTTTCACCATATTAGAAATATTTTTATCGCGTTTCAATATCGAGGTTTCATTTTTTAAGCGCTCCAAAATTCTAGTCCCCAATCGATTTTCCAAAAATATCGTATATAAAAGGACTTATCTCTTAAAAGATTTGATTTATTTTGAAAATTTAGCTGTTTGACTTTCGAATGCAAATATTGTATTATCTTTCAATCGACACAGAATTTGCAGCTCAATTTCTTCGTGATGCGTGACGTTGTAATCTTAATCTCAGCTCATTATTGCGGGAATTACTACGTTTCGAGAACAGTAATAGTTTTTATTGCACAAAAGAGAGAGAGAGAGAGAGAGAGAAAGAAAAAATTCTCGTGAATTCTAGTCAAGTAGCGTCAACGGCATTTATCTACTGTAATCCGTATATGCACAGCAAAATTGAATACGGTGAGCTTAATCGGAGCTTATTCAGAATGCATTACGTACTCCCATTTCTACTCTCATTTTTTGTCCCTCAATGCATAAACAATACAGACAGAAACTATCGTGAATTTTGTTTTGTATTCGCTTAGTTTAACACTGCATTTGAAATAGCAACAAGAAACTACATTATGCAACCGAGATACGATCGATATCTACATATTCATATTTATATACTGGAATCGCGTATCTCGTATTGAATTTGAATGAAGTATCGTAAAATGTCTTCGTGTAATGTAAATATTTTTCGATATTTTATCTCAATTATTATGTACCAATGTCGATTCTCTTACACAATCCGTTAGCTTTATGAAAATGTTTTTCAATTTTTAAATTTTAATGAAAAATCACAATTGTTAAAAACTTGGAAAAAATCCACTTGAATAACATACTAATCGTCTGACAAATTAATACATATTAATCGTCGTATTTATTGGAAAAATCATACTCGTCGAAAATATGTAAAAAGAAGAATTCGAATTATACATGTATAAATGAATATTATGTAAGAGCTAAAGATACTAAAGATTTATTATAGTATTATAAAATTTTAATGTCAACTAATTAGCGAACTAATAAAGGAAATCATAATAAAAAAATGCAGTGTAATATGTTTATTAATACAAATTTCTTTTATACACTTACACTGCGTTTTTTTTATACGATTATTTATTTGTAGCATGAATCAAACATGATAATATGCAAAAATTTTTAATTTTTAATTTTTGAAAAATGTATATTATATTTTATATGCTTTTAAATTGACTGACAATGAGTACTAATAATATAACATTTCTTAACAAATTAATATAAAAAATTAAATATAAAAGAAAACAATGGAAAAATATAGTACAATTTGTTTGTATTAGTGAGAAGATAATTTACGTGAATTTCATTAGAGCAATATATAGAAAGAACAGTATTGCATGTATACATATATACATATAATAAATATTTATATTATTGTTTATAAGAAAAAGATAAGAAAGAGATATTCAGTCATTGCAAGATATCCCGTATACAATGCAATCTCATCTTGCTGAAAAATCTTTATTTTCAGTTTGTGAAGTATCATGTGAAAGTACTAGGTTACAATTTGGATATAGTGAATGGCAAAGATCCGGAACAGCTTCTAAAGTAAAACAGTTTTAAAAATACAAGTAGCACTTGGAACGACGCAGCGCGCGTAATTTGCTCTCGAAGAAAAAAAAAGTTTCTCCGGCTCTGAAATATATGTATATTTTCTCCGATACGCTGCGTACGTCCTCAATGGTGTGCCTCCAAAGGCAAATTTCAAATTTGCATCTCCGACGAGCAAACAACCTCATCTTCCTTTCTTCCCCTTTTTCCGCTCCTTTTGCGTCATCTCTCACAATTGAATGTTTTGTGAAATGTTTTGTGCTTCTGTCGCTGAATAAAATCGAGAGAAATTAATTTTACATCCATGAAACCATTGATTAATTATAATTTTTTTCGCTTATTTAGAAATGATTTTTTTTGCATAAATGTCGAGCGAAATTATATGCGTTTATTGTGTGCATCTTTTTAATTTTTAATATCATCGTAATCAAGTTTAAAATTTATCATTTTTGTCAAGGAAAAATTATTTTAATTGTCGAGATTAATTATATGGATCTCGTTGAATATTGTCGGGAATCACATTCAAATAATGCATTAATTGCGAATGTAAATCCAGTTGTATTAGATTAAAACTAACAATATTATTTGTAACAATATTAATTGTATGTCATTTATTTATTAAATATCATTTGGTTAGCTATCATTTTGTCTAGAGAGTCGCACAATATACTTATTATATATTTATAATTTATCATGAAAAAGAGATATATATACATATGATGATTAGGTGAAAATTATTTGCTCTTTAACCAATATTAATCTCGAGAAAATGTTAATTGAACTACAATTAACAGATATAATATATAATTTATCATGAAATTTTTCAAAAAAGTATTTATTAGTATACAATACAATTTATTTAGTATACAATACATATTTGAAAGAGAAAATGTATGAAATTTGTCACAATTTGACACATATTAAATTTCATAAAATTAAGCATTTAATGATTTAATTTATATCTATTTCTATTATATTTTGTAGCCTTTTAAGGAAAAATTTTAAAAATATTTGTAGAAAATGCGTCTAGTGCACATATTGAAGCATATATGACATTCTCAATACATGCATGATAAAAATTTGTCTACACGAAAGATAGAACACAGAACACGAATGTTTGAGTCTCGCTTATAAACGAGAAAAGTCATGGAAAGTGTGTGACGGCAATTTCATCTGTCGCGACGGACGGATATAAGAGTCGTTGGAGGAAAATTGCGAAAAGAAATAAAGAGCGAGAAGAAAGAGCTTTGCATCTCCGTTTTTTTTCTAATAACGTGATTGTATCCGGAAGCAACTCTCTTTTCTCTCTCTTCTTTTCCTTTGTCTCTCATTATTTTTTCTTTCTCGAAGACATCGACTCGAATAAAGCAAGATCCCAGAAGACAAGCGTCGACCAACAGACCTCTTTGATGCCGAAGAACACAGAAAAGTGCAGTTTCTTGTCTCTGGGATGCAAGAGAAGAGACCTCAATCTTTATTCTCTTCCCATACGCGCATACTCATACCAATCAAATATTTAGGAGAATATTTGTTGATTGCACAATGATCTTAATAAATTGAGATCTTGCTTAAAAGAGAAAGATTTTTTTCACTCGATCAAAATTTCTTCAATCTTTGTTTTAAAACTTTTAGCGCTCCATGATTAAATGATTATTAATAAATTAACAAACTTATTTTGTTAACTATTGCAGTGCTGACGTATTGATATTTTGTTGGTGAAATTCTCATCAAAATTTAATATTATTGCTTTATTTAACAAAAAAATAAAGTTTTAAGACAATTTGGAGAAATAATGTAAGAAGTATGTTGTTTAATCGTTTATTTTGCAATATTTTTCTTGATGTACGCAATTTTCTTTTGGCAAAATACAATATACATTGTAGAGACTTTATCTGTAAAGACTTTCTCATGTAAAGTGAAAACGAATAGAAGAACGTATATTTTAAACACCAAATACGTTTTAAAAGTAATTTAAAATTTTTAAAACTTGATTTTCATTCATTAAGATCATTTTCGTAGAACAAATTTATGATTTCTTGGGCGTAATTCTCCAAAGCGGCAATTTGTGTAACGGAAGACGGAATGCACGATAGGAAAGGACGATATTTCGTGAATAAAGCGAACGGTGAAAACGTAATCTAAGTTAACAGCACTAAATGCCCATCACCACTAAAGTTCAATTTTAATTAAACATTAGTCAAACATGTAAAAAAGTCCATAAATCTACAAGAAGAATTGAAGAATTTTCAATATTTCGTCACATCTTACTAATTAGTCTGCTATATTATTCCATTATCTTGAGATAATTTTTATTTAGAAATGCAATATTTTTAGTATGTGAAGACTAATTGTAAGAACAAAATTAGAATATCCCCATTCATTCGTTATTTCTCTCTCTCTCTCTCTCTCTCTCTTATCATTATTCTATACATTAATTTAAATTGATATTTTATGTGTAATGAATTATCGGTAATTAATCAGTAAATGAGTAATGCAAATGTTTCCAAATATTGACATATAAATACAATACGATAGTTGTATCTATGGTACAGTTTTGTCTTAGTCTGTCTCTAGAAGTTGTAACATCGCGTGACATTAACAAAACTTATTGGAACCTGTCGAATCGGGCAGTTTCACATAGAACAATATTCGAAACTGAAGTCGGATACGCTCGAACTTTATAGGAAATTGGATTGAATGGAATGAGAATACAAGATGTAACAGGTCCACAATAGATATTTAGTGAACATGTAATATTTTTTTGTTAATCAAAATTTAGAGTAACTTTTTCTTAAAATTAAACGTTATATTTTTCATAATTTTTGATATTTTCTTTACGCAAATCATGTCTGGAAAGAATCATTAAAATTAAAATATATTCAATATAAACACGCTCAACTATCAATTTTTCTTTAAATTCTTTTAGGGAAAAATTCGATAAAATTGTTTAAAAAACACGAAAATTTAATATATAAAAAAGATTATGACTATAAAGAATGGAAATTTTGAGAAACTACTACTTTTTGATAGAATAATATTTTTTTTATTTAAAGTAAAGTATTTTTTGCATAAATAAAATATTTAAAGGTTGTTGCCAAGTTGACCAGCATAAGTTTTAGTAGATTTCTAAAGCCTGTTTAACGATGGATGAAGTTTGATTAGTGCAATTATACGAATGTAAAAACGTTGATGATAACGCCTGAATGATGATAATTACGAAGCACCAATGTATCCTGATGCAATCGTAACTGAGGCAAAACTTCAAAGCACCCACGCAAAGCTAAACCGCAAAGTTATTAAAGGGCGTTTAATTTAAAAAATGCATTTTACAAATATATTTAATGCCAGGTTGCCTATTTATAATTAAAAAAACAGACGTAATTTATGTTGACACATTAATAAGAACATTTAAAAAAACAAATATTGTGCTAAACTTTATCTATTTTCTATCTTTAGACGTAAAAGATAGAAAAACCAATATGATAAAGTTTTGAGTTTTAATTCTTAATTGAAGGAAACTCATAAAAGATAAATATGAGTAAAAAATCGGAATATATTTTTTTATTTATATTTCTTCGAATTATATTTAACTCTTTTGGAATAATAATAACAGATTCTTTCAGACAATAATAACAAAATTTAATTTATAATAAGAATTAATGAATATATATTTTGGATTTACTATTACAATGATTGTTCAAGTTGAAGATTAGCGAAGAAAAGGGAACGCGAAATATCGATAATTCGTCGAAGAACGATTAAACGCATGGATTTTCTGAAATTAAAATTACAAGGGTAACGTTTAATCCTCGTTTAAATGATGCAGTCACGTATAATTGTGTGCAATTCACCAGATGTTCCACGTATGTACGTCGATTTACTTAATTCACATGGAGATGCATTGCGCTTCAGGCAGGTGATCATTGCGAGGACATTTTGTCGGAAATTTTGTTACTTTTTTTTATCTCGCCGCGCATACTTTGTTTTAATCTTCCGTTATGTAGCCTCCCATTAATAAAGTTTCCTTTTTTTCTCTTTAGATTTTAACATGCCAGCTTGTTTTCTCCTCTTTTTATCTATATTTCAATAACGAGAGAGATAATTCTTTTAGAGCGATAAAACGAGAGATTTATATAACATCTATATACTTTAAAATAAAATTATACTATAATTTTTTCATTTATTCTTGTCGTTAAAGTCTTTATATATAAATAATTACAAAATCAGTAATAAATATTACGTTACATTCGCAGTTTATTTTGGCCAGAAATTCATCTCGATGATATTAAAAGAAACTCCTATATATGTATATGTGTGTTGGTGC